GTAAGATCACACATTAATGGAGTCGTCTGACTTTTAAAGGGAAATGTCACCTTTCCCTACTGGCTGGCTGCTATGACTGTCATGGAGCAATAGATTACGCTTTACAAAACCCACTATCATTCAGAATTAAAAATTCTGGAAAATGTGTTACTGCAACACTAGAGGAGCAGTTTCACACACAAGAATTAATGCTTGTAACATTTTGCGAGATAATTTCTCACTTTTAAAAATATATATATATTTTTTTGTTAAGTGAGTTTGTATTACGCAGTTCTGCATATAAACAGTTACTGTGAGTTAGGTACAGGGTTTCTGTATGTTATCAGTGCGGGAATAGGAATAAATAGGGCTTTGTGTATAACAAAGTATTTCAAATGCTTTCTTTTTTTTTGTGAGACCATCAAGCACCTTTAAAAATTATAAATAAAAAAACAAGAAGCCATGTAAACCACAAATAGTGTGTGTTAGTTTATTACTTGCTGCTTCTGCAGGGCAAAATATCATTTTTAATATAATTGCATATCCCATATATTAAGCAAATATGTGTTTTGTAAGATCTGAGGAATAAAATAAAATGTAGAATACCATACATCTGTATTTACCTACATCCTGGAACAGGGTGCTGATTTGTCCTAGTAAAGGGACACTATAGGCACCCAGACCACTTTATCTCATTGAAGTGGTCTGGATGGAATGTAAAACACTGCAGTTTCAGAGAATGTCTACTGGACCACCACTACAGGTGCTTCCTGGAATTTTACAGAGTATGATTCCATGAAACGATGCTAGACGTCCCCACGTTTTGCACGAGGATGTCCAGCATGTTGAAATCCTCCTCCCCCGCCCCCCACTGTAGGAAATCATTGAATCAATGTTTTCCGATGGGGAAGGCCTAATAGTCACAGACAGCACACACAGTGCATGTGTTTTAGGTTCCCCTGGATTAACAACTGAGGAGGAGACAGACCCAGATTCAGGTAAGTGTTTTAAAGGTGTTTTTTTTTTAACCCCTTACGTGGCAGGAATGGAGGCCCACACAATTTTAGTGCATAGTGACACCAACGTTAGGAATACACTTTTGTATTCCTAACATTATAGTGTTCCTTTAAATATAGTATGTGCAAGAGGAGAAATAGAAATATTACTGTTTCTCCAATGCAATGCGTGCCTTTACTGCACTGGATTATGATGTAAATTGTTATATTAATAGTATATGTTTAAAAGAAAACTGAAAATCACATACAAAAGTTAGTACAAGTTGTAGTCAATTTTCAAAGATGTATTCAATTGTGCACATAATTTCCTTAAATACAATTATTTGACCAGCAGTGTAGAGTGGACTCTGGGTAATGGAAGAAAACTCTGACCTGCTCACTCGTGCAGCAAACGTGCTAGACTAGAGGCTGATGGTGCTGAGACATGACAGTGGGGAGGAGAAGAGAAAAGACAACAACTATGCCCGGAGTGAACAAATATTCCCAACCCACTGGATAACCAGGGTAATTTATGTCACAGTGTTATCAAAATAAGTCTTCCCTCTAGGCCTGGTACTAACTGTATACAACATCACTGTGTATTGCTATGGGTGGGATTAAGAAGCCATTGGAGCAAATGCGGCTCTCTCTAGTTCAGAATCTACTGAAACTAGGGAACATTTATCTTCCCCATGGCTGATGCCTCCGCTGTTCCTTTGCGTCACTGTTCTGCTCTAGTCTTGTAGTACACACTGTACTACATGTCTAGCGGCCAGAGGTTCTTCCCTCTTGGACATCTACAAATGCAGTTCTACATGGCAGTGACTTTATAGTACGACGACAAAGCTCTTACTATGCATTAAAGATTTCGTTGTACTGGAACTGCCTTAGTAAAGTCCCAAACTGGAAGAGACTTGGGCAACACATTTACCATATGATTTGAGGACCACAGTAACAGCTTTGGCTGGATAATAAGTCTACTAACTTTTTTATAATGACTGTGGCAATGTTACAGTGCGTAGAGGAGGGAAACAATAAGAAAATAAACAATGGCAGTGATATGGGAGAATTAAGACCGAGCAAGGAAGAGCCTGCTAGTTGTCCCTTTAACACCCACGTTCCATTATCCCAAAATTAGACAATATCTTTTAACTGTTATTTAAAGTAAGTGAGGCAGTAAACTATCCTGGCTGCGTGTTTGCCCGAAACGTTAAAATTGCTCAAACTCATAAAGTGCATCTTGATTAGTTCATGGAACTATACCATAGCGTTCAAGCAATGTTAAAGGAAATCCAACTATGAATTACAATGATTCTAGAATTCACACTGTCTGAAAGGGGGGGAGGAGGATAATTTAAGTAATTTTTACTGGGGGTAGTGAAATTGCAAGACTGGAAACCGTAATATTTCTTATTACATACACACCTAATAAAACAAATATAAAATAGCATCAGACCTTGTAATCTGTGAATTCTCTCTGCAAAAGTGTAATGTCCAGATTAGTGATATCCCGAATTGTTCGCCGAATGGTTCGCCACGAACGGTTTACCGCGGACGCATCATTGAGTAAACTTTTACCCTGTACCTCACAGTCAGCAGACACATTCCAGCCAATCACCAGCAGACCCTCCCTCCCACCTCCTGGACAGCATCCATTGTGAAGCTGCATTCTTAGTGAGCTGTCCAGGAGGTGGGAGTGTCTGCTGCCGATTGGCTGGAATGTGTCTGCTGACTGTGAGGTACAGGGTCAAAGTTTACTCAATGATGAGTACGCGGCGAACAGTTCGGGACATCACTAGTCCAGATATATGAACACCAAGAGACAACACTCACTTTCACAAGTTAAACATAACGTTCACAGAACTGTGTAATAATTAGCTATAAAAGAGTGAATTCATTAGTGAGAGTTTCCCAGTCCAAATAACCCACCAGTTCTCATTGAATAAAAAGGAGTGCTTATTAGCTGACGAGCATTTATCAGTGGTGGATTGTGAAGTTTAAAGATGATGAGTTTTACCAACTTAAGCAGATGAAATGACATGGCCTGTTCAAAACCTACATCTCCAGTTATCAAGAGGAGAAACTGCAGATATAATCATGACAGATACTTTTTTTCTTACACACACTTATTAGTGATCCTTATAATGCCAATAGATTTGTATTTTTCCACCAACAAAAACTGGGAGATAATAAAGTGGAATGGTGGCATTGCCCCTCCTGCCCCAATGGACCAGACTCTTCACCACACAATAATTATGGATTTTACTTATCTACCAATTCTCTTCCAAGAAGCAACAGACTCCAGAAAGCACTTCTTCCAGATTTTGGACAGGGTAATGGGAACATTCTTATATTGCTCAGTCTTGATTCTAAATGTCTGTAACTAGAGAATAAAATGTTTAAGAATAAAAATACAAAACAAAAACACATTCAGTTATTTGCATTGTTGAGAGGAGATTGAGTGTGGCTATACTAAGGCAATAAGGATAAAGACATTTGGGGAACAATGAGAAGGACCTCCATGTTGTGCCTCCACACAATTATTCTGCTGGTGGTTGAACTAAAAGATAACAAGCTGGAATTTGCTCCATATGAATTTGGTTTCAGGTCTACATCTTGTACACTATAGCTTATGCTATTGTCCTATTAAGTTAAATGTAATCTGACCTCCTGAAATCTTGTACAAGATTAAAATATGATCTTTCAACATTTGCGTTAAGTTCTTTTCTCTATCATATTTGGACAAGGACATAAACATAGCAAACCTGATCACCTGGGATATACATACGGTCTGAAGAAATACAAAAAGTACTTTCAATGGGTATGACCTGCAGTTCAACAAAGCATCTAGCTTATGTCACTGCATTCAGTATTAAGTGATTCAGAACTGAGCCGGCAGGACATTTATTTTCAAAAGTTTTGTTAGAAGTGATATTCTACCCTATCTACACTGCTATTAGCTTTATCAACGTTATGCTCAGGTAAAACACAGAAGATGAATGATAGGTCCACGAGAATGGAAAACCATGAACTAATTTACCACTAGGTGGCAATCTAGACATATCCATAGCTGCAAAGTACTTTGATCCTGATCAAAGTCCCGAACGGTGGACTGAAATGTTGATTTCGATTTTAAAACTGCTCAATAAAGATTGGACTTTTAATATATATGTATTTATTTTTAAATAGTAATGTCACTTTTATTATAACCTTAATTTAGCACACATGTAGTTTGCATTGTGAGTATAGTCATCCAAGCACAAACACTAGTATTGGCACTGTTTTTAATTGCTTTAATCACATTAATGGACTCTCTAGTGCCAGGACAACATATTCATTTAAAACCCCTTCAGTGACTTACCTGAATCCAGCGCCGATGTCCCTCGGTGCTGGGTCAGGCTCCGCCTACCCTCCTCCCCACCAATGGCAGCCAGTGGGGGAGACCTAATGCGCATGGGCAGCAATTATTCAATGCTTTCATAAGGGGATTTCGGCGACGCTGGAGGTCCTCACATAGCGGGAGAACGTCTATAGCGTGAAGGAATCTAAGAACACTGAAGTCCCTCTAGTAGCTGTTTGATAAACAGCTAGTAGAGAAGGACTTAACCCTGCAAGGTAATTATTGCAATTTATAAAAACTGCAATAATTACACTTGCAGGGTTAAGAGTGGTGGAAGTTGGCACCCAGACCACTCCAATGGGCAGAAGTGTTCTGGATGCCTGGAGTGTCCCTTTAATTTTGTATTCTGTATACTAACAACGCTCTTACAATAGATTAATTGAATGTACTTTAGCTTATTTTGCATTATGTCATAAGGGTGAATTGACATGCTTGAAGGTCTAATTGTGTCTGAAGTGGTTGAGAGGAGCCAGAAACAGTGCATCATTTTGGCGCTGTAACTCTGAGAAGATGTAATCACTTACATTTGTTTGCATTATATATTTACTACTTTAAAAGCAATTGTATGTTACAGTTGCACCTGCATACTCTAGAATAATTTATATTTTAAAACAAAACATGGACCCCTTTAAATACCTAAATCAGAATCAGACCCGGTTCAGCAATCAGAAAGTTGACTTCTCCTGTAGAGCTGATAATTCACTAATCTCAAAGAAAACTGCCATCGGAGCACTCCATCGATAGATTACATGGGAATTAGTCAGATCCTTGCTTTCCTGAAACACATGGATTTCCAATAATGGAGATAGTCTGAAATCATAACCTATATACAGGATCAGAGTTGCCTACCATTTCCTCATTTCTTGTCCAAATGTCGCTACAGTAAACCAAGGGACAACATTGCAACCGAAATCTGCACTGGACCGATGAGCACTGAAGATAAACCTCAGATGAGCCTTGATCGAAACACGCATCGGGAGCACAGACCTATCAATACATAATTATTTAGATTAGTTCATGCACCCAAGATGAGTTAACATTGGTAAAAGTAATACTTCCAAATAACTACAAAGGAAGTCCCTCTACCCAAATTATATATAGTCGATTGACTAGCAACACAGTGTAACAGCTGCCGGTTCCCCTATTTACCACTATAACGTCGCTAACCGTACAGATATCTTAACTATAATATTACATAGTTAGTAATAGTTCCACTATGTAAAATATTTTAATAAACAAAAATATAGACATATAAAAACATAATAATCCATTACAATAATGTATAGCAGAGTTTATAAGATTAAAGTATATGCTTGCAATATTTAAAATAGAATAACATTCTCTTAAACGAGTCAACCTCTCAGTCATGATAAAATGGAGCAGCATCTCTGTATCCAAAATTCTCTTTTCTGTGTCCCCAATATTAATAGGTACACATATTAATACCTTAGATTTTCAATTAGGTCATGTTAGGATCTACCTTAACTTGGCAAAGATACAAGGCCATGACTTATTTCACAGGGGAACATCTTAATCAGTCTATTGTCATGACCTAGACATCTTATCTATCTTTAGACTAAAACCTAAAGGGACACTCCAGGCACCCAAACCCTTCTGCCCATTGGAGTGGTCTGGGTGCCAACTCCCATCACCCTTAACCCTGCAAGTGTAATTATTGCAGTTTTTATAAATTGCAATAATTACCTTGCGGGGTTATGTTCTTCTCTAGTGGCTGTCTTCTCTAGACAGCCACTAGAGGGACTTCTGGCTTCTTAGACGACTTTTGGTCGACACTGGAGGTCCTCACGCTATGCATCCTCCAGCGTCGTCAGAATCCCCATAGGAAATTGCTGCGCATGCACATTAGGTCTCCCCCGCCGGCAGGGGAGGAGCGTGGGCGGAGTCTGACCCAGCGACAAGGGACATCAGCGCTGGATTCAGATAAGTGACTGAAGGGGGCGGAAGGGAGGAGGGCACTAGTGCAAGGAAAACTGTTTTTTTTACCTTTTGGGGTACACATGACATAGGAAATTCCCTGACTAGTTGTTCCACTTACCTAGGGCAAAATGGTGCCCTAAATTATATTTAACCGCGGCTGGTTCCCTTATTTACCACTAATGTCTTAAAGCATAGAACTTAGTAGGGCTAACCATACAGATATCTTAGCCATAATTTTATATAGTGTAAGAGATCCTCTATTTAACATATATAAATAACTGAGAATACAATATAAAATAAGGATTGGAAGCAATAAAATTTTGTCTTTTTGATATTTATTATATAAAAATATAAATATAGACATATAAGATCCATTATAGCAGAGTTTATAAGATTAAACTAAATGCTTGCAAATATCATTAATAGGTTAACATACCCTTCTGAACATGTCATCATGTCAGCCTCTCTGTCATTTTAAGATGGAGCAGCATCTGTCTTCAAGTCTCTCCTCTGTGTCTTAACATTTAAAAGTACACCTATTTATACCTTAGGTGTCTCCATTTTAGGGTTACCGTAGTTCATATATGAAAAAGTAACACTTCTTTTACTTTATTCATTTTAGGACCTCCCTTAACTTGGCAAACATACAAGGCCATAACTAAAGGGTGTATACGTCATGGAAATTTTCCTGACTTAGCTCAAGATGGCATCTTAAAGTCTGGACATCCTTATCTACTTAAGGTTACCACAGTATATTGTGTACTGAAAGAGTCGTAGCATAGCCTTGAAGCTTGTTTATGCATTATTGTTATTGTAATTCGTCTGGGACAAAATGGCGTAAACATAATATGCGCTGAGGTTATTGCTTAAAGAAACATCTATGAAAAACAATATGTTCCATTTCTAACACCTTGTCAGTTAGCAATATCTCTTAAAGACAAAGTACACAGTTTAAGAAATGCAAATATTACAAGTTTTAGAATGAAATGTTGTATTTGCCCATAACAAAACATTGTATGAAAAACAATGTTCCATTTCTAACAATTTGTCAGTTTGCAAAATCTCTTAAAGACAAAGTACACAGTTTAAGAAATACAACTTTTCATTCTTAAAAAAAACACAAAAAAAAAAAACTTAGTATTTGCACATGCCCATAACAGTTCTCATATTATACCTTTTCTAGTCTATTAGGACACTAATTATATTACGGTTGAAACAATTGTAATATGCTGTTCAGCCATTAGATGGCATTGGTATACCAACAATAATTACTTTCGGTATTAAGTTGACCTATGCATGTTGGATGTAATTATTTTTTGGCGATCTTCAATTTGTTTTAGTTTTTTAGATTGTGATGAGACTTTGCTTCTTTAAAAAAAAAAAAAATTATAAAAGTTACATTCCAATTAAACATCCTTTCTGTGTACAATAACACCTAAATAACCACTGAATGCATTTTCTGGATTTTTTTTTTACAAACATGGTAAATGCCTGCTCCACGGAAGCTTCAGCAAGTAATCCACTGTAGTTTTCATGGCTGACATTTGGTGTGTTTTAGGATCTGTGTTAATAAACACTTATTATGAACAAAAATAGTCAGTGTATTTTATATATAAAAAGATGAAACGTTACACCAACAGATTAACTAGTACTCACTGTCGCAGCAAAGTAACATTGGTGATGTACCAAGACAGCATTTGATGAAAGAAACAATCCACTGTAGCTTTAAGGTGGCTGTCCAAATGGGTCACAAAGTCTCTAGGTTGCGCTACATATTCTATACACCTGTGGTTCATCTTATGTTGCTAGGCCTGTGCTTCTGAATAGGGGTAGAGGGTGAAGATATCTCTTTACGAGGAATATAAACACATTCCATACATGGTTAGAATTACACTCTCTCTTTTTGTACAGGAGCTTTGATCAAATTGTAAGAATATAGTATCTCTTCTGAGAATCTCTAGAGAATTAAGTTAATATCAAACATGGTATTTCTGTCATATCTAATGACCTAAAAAAAACATGGATTCCAAAGCATCTCCCAAAATGGAAGCCAGTGAGATTGTACATTCCGAGAGTTGCGTATCTCATCTCTCTCTTTGACAGTTTTGGTCATAGCTGAAATAACCCCTGTAATAATGGGTAGTCAGGTTTTAAGTGCAAACACAGTTGAAAATTACCATGTTAGCATTACCTTGTTAAAAGTTTCTTCCAGAGATGGATGCCACCATTTCTACACAAAGGTACTTTTCACATCAATCCTATCTCGAGATAGTAGCTCTAAACACTTATTAGAATAAATTATGTTAGAATGACATCTTAAACATCAATTTTCTTTATTATGAAAAAAAGGGTGTATTACAAAATAGTTAATCTCCCCTTCCCCCCCACCCCCCAAAAAAAGTGCCAGACGGTTCAAAAACATCCAGCTATGTTTCCCCCTTGTGCCTAGCAAGTTCGTGTATGGTATGGTTATTTAAAGAGTAACTCCATGCACTACGAACACTTTAGTGATTTAAAGTGGTCATGATACCTGGAGTCGCTATGAAATGAAACACATAGACATCAACAAGAGATTAACTCCACCTCTGGCAACATCAATAGCCAGCCCAGAACAATAGTTCCAGGCGGCTAACGTAAATTTTTGCTAAATTTTTCTGTCTCACACACACCGTCAAATCGGATGTCTTTGGTATTCCCCATTTCAGGGTCTATCGACAAGAATTAGCTCACAATACAATTCGCATTATGTATTTATTATGGGCTTGCACAGGTCCTGCATCGAGCGTTACCCGGATTGGGAGATAAGCCAAACAAGATGTTCTAGGCACATTCTATTGCAAGTGCTAACAAAAGAAAATATATAGGTCGCGCTATATGGTAATGGGAATAGAAGTAAATATAAAATTGGATAAGACAAAAATAAAACAGGGAAAAATTATCCCAATAATGTAAAAGTCTTTAATAAAACCTGTGATAATACTGAGGTCTGAAAAAAGTCCAAAAGTCCAAAGATTAGCCGAATCTTCTTGTATTAGCGGTATCACAACTTGATGGTGGGTATATGGACATGTAAAGAAAACAGAAAGACTCCAATGGTGCAGATGGTAATATAGCAGATGAGTAGAAGGCAAATATTATAGCAGGTAATCCACTCACCTATTTCTGAGCATAAAATTGCTCAGGTGATAGTAGCGTTCAGTGGCGTTGATCCTCCACTGGTAGGATATAGGTGGAGAAGATATAAGAAAACTCCTCGGTATATGGAGAAAAAAAAAAACAATATAGTGCTCACTGAATAAGTGAGAAGGATAAAATAGTAAGAGCAGTAGAATACTCACATGCGTATGAGCAGGATATACTGCTCACTTTGATAGCGTAGGTGGTATTATCCCCACCTAGGATTCTTGAGCATATGTTATTCCAATATAACAGGTACCAGGATTCAGAAAATAAAAAATAGTATTATATAGTAAAAGAAATTATAAATAATAACAATAAAACTTTATTTTTAATAACAGAATCTATAAAATATGAATATAGCCAAAACGCGTTTCACCTCACAGGGCTTTTTCAATTGGCAATAAAGGAAAAAACATACTGGTACATGAATGCTTATATAAACTGTCTAAACATATGCAAATTCAAAATTTGGCGCCAAAATGACGTCATTATTAAAACATGGGAGTGTGAGAAAAAAGAAAAAAAAAAGAATTTTTTTTTTTTTAAAGTAGAAAAAAATATCTTTAAAATAACATACAAGTGGGGGGCGGGGCCGGACCGCCATGCTAACCGGTCGCATGCAGGAGAGGCTCCGGAGCGATCGGGCCTCTTAAGCTACAAATGGCAGATTATTACGATAACCGACAAGCCTACAAAATACACACGGCTGTGGGAGAGGTAGCGGACCCTGAGATCGGGAGCTTTGGACCCCATAGTGGAAGACCGAAGCTTCGAGGGCTGCGGCCTACTCGGGAGGGGAGTGAGGTGGACGGCCGCTGCCAGGCCTCCCTTCCCAGCTGCCACACGCTGATTGCCAGAGCAGCTTGCCGGTCCCGTTTCCCCCCCCTTTGGGCCGGGGGGGTCATCCCGGTCCCCACTGAGAAGAGAGGTGGGGAGGCTGGGGCACAAGAAAAATCCGAGGCTAACCTTGCAAGATGGCGGCAGCTTCTGACTCTCCACCATCTACCCCTACAACACGGAGTCTCTCCAAGCTGCGACCAAGCCAACCACTCCGGCGGAGGTCCCCAAAGCCAGATACTCGAGGGATACAGCGCTGGGAGAGAGGGAGACCGTGCAAGTAACTGGATCCGCCGCCAGCAACAGACCCTCTCTGGGGGGGGGCTGGACACACGTGGCGAGCAACGGAGCCATGTTCGCAGCGTGTATCTACCAACTGGAGCTAAGCAGTCGGAACAGGACGAACCTCAATTCTCTCGTTATGTGCCGAGCAGCTGGGGTACCAGACCGGGGTCTAGGAAGACCGATCCTGGCATGCAAGCACAGAGACACCCACAGCCCCAAAACATGTGGACTTTGTTAGAAACAGCAGCTACACGTAACCCACTGGCAGCTTCAGACCTAAGATGCACAGCGGTACACCGCTGCCACTTTGCCCTTTTTGGCCTCTTCTCCCCACCAGACCCCACCCAGAGCTTTGTAGCTGCGCGGGGTCCTGCTCGACTCCAGTGGTCACTTGCCTACTGGCTCACACGACCATTTAAGTTAATACCCCTCATGTCAGTGGTCTATTGCTTATAAATTTTCTACTTGGTCTTACATGCAGACATATATGATTCACAACGTTAAAAATCCATTGCTAAGAAGAATGTACATCCAATGCTTTCCCTTTTTGTCTCTTCTCTGACTACTACTATCTGACTTTAAGCTGCTGTCACTATGGCATAAATATTTACCCTTCTCAGAAAAGCAATGCCATAAGCCTTACCATAATCTAACTATTGTTGATACTTGCATAACATATACCACTAGATTGCCTTACTACGTTTAAAAAATGTTTTAAAAATGTGCTTTCACTTCTATGCCACATATGTGTACATCTATGTTATTGATGTGATTATGTTTGCTGTTGTGGCAACGTATATCCTACTGTCAAACCATGCACAACAAAAATAAAGAATTCAAAAAAAAAAAAAAATAACATACAAGTTATTGTAATTTAATATTGTAATGGAAACTTTAAAACGAGTATTAATTAAGATAAACAGATAGAATACATAAGAAACATATGAAATCACGTGATCGCGCCATTGCGCGGTCACGTGGTACAGCTGAAAAGGCTTATGGGAACTTTATGCTGGGTGGTCATCTAGATCGGCACCAGCAGAGGGGCAGGGAATGTTGACAGAGGCACGTGATCGCGGGCTGCCGCGGTCACGTGGTTCAGCAAGAAACTAAAAGCTGGCAACACTATGAGCAAAAAGAGAAGGAGGAGCACGTGATCGCGAGCAGCCGCGGTCACGTGGGATACAGCAATATGGTGAAAAATCTAATATGAGGGTGGGGGGCATGAAACTTTAAAACGAGCATTAATTCAGATAAGCAGATAAAATACATATAAAATCACGTGATCGCGCCATCGCGCGGTCACGTGGTACAACCGAAAAGGCTTATGGGAACTGTATGCTGGGCGGTCTTCTAGATCGGCACCAGCAGAGGGGCAGAGAATGTTGACAGAGGCACGTGATCACGGGCTGCCGCGGTCACGTGGTTTGGCAAAAAACTAAAGGCTAGCAACACTATGAACAAAATAGAGAAAGAGGAGCACGTGATCGCGAGCGGCCGCGGTCACGTGGGATACAGCAATATGTTGAAAAATCTAATATGAGAGTAGGGGGCATGAACCAAATAATTAGGATATAGAATAAACAGAGAGGATATTTATAATGTTGTAAAAAGGATTAATGGTTGAAATATATAAAAATGTAAAGTAAACTAAGATAATGAGATAAAATTGTATAAGAGGTTAGTAGCTAAAATATGTAAAAAGTGTGAAAAAGGAAAAAAAGAGAAAACTGTGTAAAAAATAATAAAAAAATAAAACCTGCTACATTCTATTGCAAGTGCTGACATTCATAAATTCTCACATAGAACATGATTTCCGAATTATGATGTTATGGCTCCTGATAATACGGTTACTGCACCACAGAAGGTAAAGAGGAAACACTGAATGGTAGGAGTGAAAGAGAGCATAACAAAATATCCAACAAAATGAACTATAACCAACCGTTCCACCTCATGTGCCTGGACTTGCCCTTTAACTCTCTTTGCACAGTGATGGATAATATGACTTACAAGTGTATGTTTACTTACTTCCCGTCTGGGTGCTTTGAAGGTGCCTTCTTTTAGTTCAGCTGTGGTCACCATCAGAACTGCAGTAGGTAGGACAGAAGATACATGATATAAGATGCACAAAGCTGTAATAACATTTAGTATTTATATAGCGCCTTTCTCCCAATGGGACTCAAAGCACACTCTCTTAGAATTAACCAAA